GTATAAATAAGTATTTATATTTGTGTAGCCTTTGTTTTTAGGGTTATAAACAAAGTTTGTGTACTCAGACCAGTAATATTTGGGGTCACAAGTGTTTGCCATGAATATTTTGTGGGTCAGAAGAAAAAAAGTTTGGGAACCACTGGTCTAACTCACCTGTAAAAGTGCAATACCAACAAAAACTCCAGCTACAATAATCAGGTTGTCTTGAAGCCACTTCTCAAACTGTCCCACGCAGCCTTTGGTGTAGATGTATTTCTGTCGGTCCAGATCCTTTTAACAAAAATAAATAATACATAAAAATGTGTCTTGAGTGAGGAGACTTTATTTTACAGTGGGATAAATGTCGGATCTTCATAGCTTTTTTYCGTTTATTTCAACAAAATTGTGAAAAATGTGACAAAACAACATTTTGCCCATTGATTCCTTCACCGTAGTTTGAAACTGCCTGAGAGTCGAGTCACACCTAATGGGTTTAACGTTATTGTCTGGATATTTAGGAGTCTAACAAAGAGAGAGTTTACACATTCACTGATGACCCCTGTCTGGAGTGAGAAAAACAGGCAGACTCTTCTTCCTGTCAGCGGACAGATGGCTATTTGTGCCGTCCGGTTCRGCTGATGATGTACGCTCAGAGAGGGAGGGGTGAGAAAAGGTGTAATTTACAGCTGAAATGACACCTAAAAAGGAGGAAGAATAGATGCCTCTACACAATGCCTCCTTTTGTTCCTCTTCAAGTCAACCAGGCAAACTCTTTGTTCTCTTCCTAAACCTGAAAGCTAGCTTTCATCCAATGAGAAGTGAAGAGAGCCTCCCGGCAGCCAACAAAAAAGCAGGAAACGCCGCGGTGCTCTGGCTGTGAACTTCCTCTGAAGCTATTTCAACTCTCTGCCTTTGTTGTGCCTCTGTCCTTCACACGGCTCCCGCTCTTCCTCCTCTCTCCAGCCCTGCTCTTCCCGACACAAGCTGCACATCCCGGATAGCTTCACAGGTTTCAGGACAAGAGCGTGGAGGAAATAATTTCATCCCAACTCCGCTGCGAGTGGTTTTGTAGTACTGCAGTTTGCCTAGCAACACGAGACCTTTGTGACTGCAGTGCAGCGGGTTGCAACCACCACACCCACACATGCTGAAAAAAAAAAAAAAGGGAACGGACTGGTATAACCCACCGAGTAGCCAATTACAGAGTGGAGCTAGGCTGTTCTTTGTGCTAAAACTGGAGTTTAATTATCCCTGTAAGCAGAACAATCTGTTATTAAAGCAAGAAGCAGGCAGGATATATGACATGCTCTTACATGCTCTGACTTCTGTGTTTGTCCTTTTATTTTCTTGACTTTATTTGCCATTTTTCCACATGAAACATAACTAAATCCTAATTATGTTGTTCTGGAATGCTATTAAAAATATTTACACTTCTAAAATGTTCCAGAAAGGTTGAAAACGCCCAAAGAATTCCTCCCAGATTTCCTGCGGGCTCTCCAGTAAACTAAGAAAATTGGTGCAACCTTGAAAACTGCTTCATTCTCTCGTCCGCTGACCTCTTCTCATTCATTCCTCGATTTAATCCATTCAAAAAATAATAATAATTAAATTTATAAAAAGACAGCCTCATGCTTTCCTCTCTACATGCTTTCGGAGACAYCACAGTACTTGTTCCACCATGTCCTGCCTCCTGAGCAAAAGCTCTCCAAACCACTTCGCTCGCCTTTCCAGCTGTGAGAGAGCGTCTTCAGCACTAAACCTCCCGCTGCGAGGCGCTTGTGTGAAGAGCAACTGTGGGGAAACTCTGAACCAAACTCTTCACATATTTTTCCCGAAGGCTTCCAGAGTTCGTGTGCGCGCACAGATTTAGACGGCGAACACTTTTGAACAGATTTGGAGGTCTTCGGGAGGAATACYTCTCAATTTCTGAGCCATTTTAAACAGGAGCACATTTATAGATGTAAATTATTTAAAATCTACTTGTTTGTAGGGTCTTAAAAGACAACGTTTTTTTCGGTAGATGGTGTCTGGAAAAGATTAAAACTAGTTGATAAGGGGCGTTTCTACACATTTTCTTTTTTATAAATTCAAAATTTTCCTTAATTAGGTTTTCTAAATTTTTTATGAATTTTGAGCCATTTTGGACATTAAAATTTATACTTAATTGCTGTGAATGTTTGTACAAACAGAATTGTTTTAAATTGGTTGTAATGAAAACACAATATGTACTGAAAAGATGAGCTGAAGAAAAGAAACAAAAATCTTTTTTATGTTTATTTAAATTAATTACTAGCTTTGTTTACATGGACATAATCGAAATAAACGGCCAATCAGAATAAAAGTATCTCATGTAAACGCCCCAATCAGAATATTCTGATCTGAGCAGCTCGATCTGAATAAATTTGCAATCTGAATGAGAGTTGTGGATTATAACAATTGATAATTATTATGTGTACATCAYTTTGGTCCTGTGGGTGTTTAAAGTACTTTATAAATAAAGATGGGATGGTATAATCTGAACTGTGTGCATGGAAACACTTATTCTGATTTTGTTATTCTGGTTGTGGAAAACTAACCTGACTGTATGTGAGTCTGATGCCAACCTGATGTACCTTGCTGGATGCTAATACGTCTGGGAAGCTAAATTGGTCAGTTAGCGATAAAACATTTCTATTAGAAATTTTCAAAGAGCTCAAAATCGAACATCTTTACGGTGGAAAGCGTAGGAACACAGTGGAGTAAAGTCTCCACCGTTATTAAAACCTGGAGCGGGTCCATTCTGGCTGCTCAGAATACACAGACCGTTTATGTTCAGRGAAGTAGTCATTTTTTAGGTAAAGATTACAACTCTGCACACAACAGTACGTCTATTCTGAATAAAAGCCTGGTGCATGTAAACGCTCGTCTTGATCAGATCAATTTTGTGCCCATATAGACATTCGGATTATTTAATCTGAATACATTTTATTCCGATCAAAGAATTCTGCACATGTAAACATAGCTACTGATTCTAACGTTGAAGTTCAAGTCTTCAATACAGTTTGGTGTTTGTGTTGTAAAACTGATTTATTTTAATGTGACTTAAATGTTATTTACTAAATATGTTAATTTGTTTAATGATCCAAAGGTCTACAGCCGTACAAAATGCAAACGGATCCCAAAACTATTATCCAGAGAAATGTCAACATCTGGAGGAGGTCATGGATTAAACTACAAAAGTTTTAATATCAGCTTTGTCCCTGTTGCAATCAGCTTTTTAAATTCAAGTTAACATAGTATAACAATCTTTTTTTGTTTGTTTGTTTTTAATATATTCTACTTTGTTTTATTGGATTTTACATGCTTTTATCTGATTTTATCTTTTTATTCTGAWATTGTATGTAGAGTTGGGAGTTGTATTTATATATTTTTTTAACTGAGCACCTGGTCACTTTTTAATTATGTTGAGTCTACTGTATGCACATGTCATACGTCTTGTGTTTTTCTTGGAATGAAGCTGACTCAGAGCAGCCACTTGTAAAAACTGTTAAGATATTCAAACATGTTTCATCACGATCTAAAACCCAAGATCAGGATGACTAAAACCAGAAACGTGTATTAAAAGTGAACATGACTATGTGTGGTAACTGTTCATTCAGTTTAACTTTGTCACACTTAAAAACACTAAAACTGGATTCTATACACTTCCATACTTTTAAGACTGCGTAGGAACCCTGTACAATGAATGCATCAATAAGAAAACCGATTCATAGAAAACTGCTTAAGTGACCAAAACATAATCGAGGTACCCACCCCGTGATGCCGAACATCATAACCACACTGCGTGTTGATGACGTCCTCCTGGAAAGATGACAAAAATAAAGTTTTAAAATACTTTTATTTGGCTGAATGACCAAATATAGTGGGCTTAAAAAATAAAAAAACTAAAAGCTTAAGAGTCTTTTGAGTATAGCTAAAATGGTTCCATACTGAGATCATTTATTTGTTTCCAAAAACAAGATAATCATGTTAAAATGCCAACAGAACATACTGCAGCTGTGACACAGTCTATTCATTGAGATGATGTATTCATCTGTCGTAACGAGTGACTCACTGCAGGATCTTTGACACAGCAGGAGAAGGGGACTCCACAGCTCTCTCTGCTGGGATTCCTGCCAGTGCAGTTGAAGTAGATGTTCTGGTTCCAGTCGTCGGGCCCGTGAGCTCCACAGCACAACCACTGAGACAGCAGCGACAACAGGCCCTGATTAAACTCTGACTAGAACACCGAGTTTCCTTCTGAGCTCCTCAGATCCGGGCTCAGGTCAGCTCAGTCGAGACAACTGGCTTACTGAGATGGGCGGGGACTACGGATCAGACTCAGTTGGTTTGTCAGCTGCAGATCTAATCTCATTTACAAAACGTCATGACAGAGTTCAGCGTTTACACACAGGAGCCAATTATCTAAACTGTCCCATTCATGTAATTGGATCATCATGTGCAGGAAACACAATCATGTTAATCATGAGATTTGCGACCGCAAGTGCAGCGCAGGACTTTACTGCTAAGAGTCTGTCTGAGCCAGAAATGCATTAATATTTAACAGAAAACAATATCACTGTGGAGAAGAAAGTCACTCTCACAGCTGAGAGATGCGTAATGCTGGGAGGGGGTATTTTTCACAGTAATTACAGTCGATGGGTGCGGTAACTCACGTATTCCTGGGCAAAGTCAATAAGGTTTTGCAAGTCGATGTCGTCGCGATACGCCTTGATATTATTGTTGATGAAAAGGTTTAGCTGGTCTTTGATCCAGTCCTTGAAGACGAAGGCGAGGATCCCCGCAGTCAGCTCCAAGAAGAAGATCAAACCCAGGAACACGGAGAACTAGACAGAACATGACACACACACCAAAAACAATACGYACGTCATTTCGAACACAAAAGCCCTAAAACACCCAAAAAGACTTTGTTTCTGCCTGTGTTTAGGAAAGAATTAACAGGAAAGCTTTGATGCAATGCCCCCCCTTTTTCAGTCTTGCTGTAGTGCCTGGCTTCGTTTGACAAGTGAGAGTGTAGCAACAACAAACCACAGTCCCTCAGGTACCGTTACATTATCCTTTTACAGTAAATGTAGACGAGACTGATGATAAATGTGCAAAAGACACATTAGCTCCTCACTCTGACGCCTGACCCACTGAAGCTAATGGACATCTGTTAGCGTTAGGAGCTGGGCAGAATTGCAGCCAGGAATGAGGCAAATTTGTCTCAGTAAGTCACATGTTGTTACCAACACGGTTAAACCAAAATAAACCACATAAATGACGAGACTCTGGCTAAAAAAAATTATAAAAATCTGTTTAAAAAAATGACAGTGAAAACTGAAGAGGAGAACGAGGCATCCTATCACTRCTTTTCAGTGAAAACCCCGGTTTGGTTTACGTAGAACATATTTAGGACGCGTAACCACTCACAGCGTTTTGGTTTGGATGAATCAAAGCAGCRCCTGCTGCACTAACAGCCTCGGTGCTGGTGTGAACTGCACATCTAAAAGAAGGTGTCAGAGTGATTAAACCTGGCTCTGGGAGGTAGCTCACAAATTTAAGCAGGAAGGTGTTCTCTCGGAGCGCTCCGATGCAGCCGGCGAAGCCCAGGATGAACATGACTCCGCCCACGACAATGAAGAGCCACACAGGGTCGAAGCCTCCGAGGTCTGTGATTGATGACAGGTTTGACAGCACGCCCTAAAACAAAGTAAATATATATACAACTATAACAATCACACAAAAGTACAGCAAACCTGAAAAAAATAAAACATGAGTGGGAATAATATTCACAGCCGTTAATTCAGCTGTTTCACTGTTTACATGTACAGGGCAGTGATGAACAGGACAATTTTACAATGTTATTTTATTGGTGTTTCAGCTGTAGCTGTTATTTTATTGGTGTTTCAGCTGTAGTGTTGCAACCTATTTGAAATGACACCTGGTATTTTCCCCTTTAATTTTCCATCAGTAACTCCAGTAAGTCCTGCTCAAGCTTGTGAGGGGGGAAAATGTGACTCATCGGAAAGTAAAATGTTATAATTTTATAGTTAACATTTGCAGATAAAATGTATTCCTTTCTGTTTATCCTGCATTTTACACTCTTGAAATAGGCCAGGGTTTAAGCAGGTGCTTGACTCCTTTATAAGAATTCCTTCCTGGTTCTACAAAATGAGACAACTCTGACTGCTGTCCACTGCATGCACCGATGTGGACGGCTGCTTTCAAATGACSGGGTGCATGAATGATGTTATATTCTGTGGACTGACCTGAACTCGGCTTACTCCGAAAACAAGAAACAACTTCTTCTTGATGTTGATCGACAGATGTAAACGGAGAGAGATTTTTAGACAAAATTTACCCATTTATATGCAGGCAGGATATAGCTAGCTGCCTGCTGTGTTGCATTGTGTGGTCAGGTAGTTAAACGCACTTGTGTAGGTATGCCTATCTGTGGGGAGGAAGTAATAAAAAGTCTGCTTTTCCCATTCKCGTTCAACCTCATTTTAAAACCTGAGACCTAATGCTCCGACAATCAAAACTGAAGGCTTGTTATGTTTGCACCCTGCAGAAATGATCACTATAAACATGTAGGTATTATTACAGACTATGGCTTTCATTAATGCTAATGGGGGTTCTGTCAGATGATGCTGAGTTTGAACAAAAACAGGATGTTCCTAAAAAAGAGTTTATAGTGCTGCTGATTAAAAACAGTCCTTATGGGCAGGTGTTAAACTTGTTTGCTCACTAACAACAAAACGAGAGAAGCTTTATTGGAAATTTTACCACAAAAACATGCAATATACGTGAACATGCAGAATAAGATAGGCAAACACATTTAAAGTGTAACTTACCCCCCCTGTGAAAAGGTAACTCCGCCCCAAGGCGAAATTTGCAAAATACAACAAAGTGGGTAGGGGAGGGGAGTGCGGGTAGGGTAGGGGGGTGGTTAGCGAGCAGAGGTGTGGCCAGGATGAGAGAACGTGACTGCTAGCATTAGCATAATTGATGCTACATGGAGAGTGACTACAGTATCGCAGATAGTTACATCTCTGAACGGTCTGAGGTGGAGGATTTTCACCCCCCGCTGCCTTTCTTTCCCCTCCTCCCCTCCCACTGTGCAGGACGTACTGCTGGTGCGTGTGTGTGTGTGTGTGTGTGTGTGTGTGTGT